TAACTCTCGCTTTTCTCAGACCAAAGGAAACCACTGTAGCAGTGTGTTTTAACATAAGGACCTATGACCGAATGCTGACAACCCCTGCTAACACCTGTGCACACAATAGGCAGTGGCAAGCATACAGGCATGCGTGGCACATACAGCATCAAAACACTGCATAGATAATTTTACAGATTAACAAAAACTTATTAGGAAAGGTAGAACATTTATACAGTTTCAAAACAGCTAAAAAGTACAGATTGAAGATCTCTATTCAAACCCAGCTTTGTCGGCTCTACACAATACAAAAAAAAAAAATCAGTGTTAATACCTTTAGATAGACTAACCATTTCAGTTACAATCAAAGTAATACTGTTTAAAGGCAGTTAAACAGGGAGCTCCTCTTTTTGTCACACACAGTAACACACTGAAGCACTAACCGATGTATAGCAACTATCAGGGAAAATTAAGTTCAAATGAGTGAAGTGTCAGATTCATACTATAGTGCTTTATAAAGTCTCACAAAAGGGCATCTCAGACAATAACTTCCTAAAAATGGAAGAGATAGACTTTCCCATCATGCCAGAGCAAGGGAAAAGTATTAATCTAAGGTATTTAACAGGCAGATTCACATCAATTCCTCCAACACAGTTTCATTTGGGAGCTAACAACAGCACAAACGTGTAACTTTAAAGCCTGCTCTCATAAAAATGCCGAGGTTAATCCTCCTTTGAGTAAGGATGACTTGACTAGACTCCCTCTGGAGCTCATCAATTCTTCTCCTTAAGTGACTTAGCAACTGCTGTTTAACAATACACGAGGCACTCCCTCCTCTCCAAAGGCTTTGCCTCTTGCTTTCAATGTTTTTCATCAGCTTTGTCATCGGAAACTCACAACAAAAGCCTGAAACACTGGCCTGCACTGTTGTAGAGATAGAAACTTAAGCCTTACAGGCCATCTCATCAACACAGCTTCTTGACTCAGAGTCCAAATATAAGCAGACTCCTGTTTAATAATAAGGACAACAGGCTCTCCAGTATATTGGGCTTGTAGGTTTGATCAAAGAAGTGGCAATAAAATGCTTTTATGAATGAAGACTTCCTTCTAGCTAACACCTGTTTGGGACCTCTTGCAACTTTGCCAGTTAATGTCTGTGAAAACCATGCCCTCCTGCAGGTCATCATGGGGAAGTAAAAACCAAACCAAACCATGTCCTACCTCCCCCTCCTTCCCAGCATCCCAAGGCATGCTTACTCTTGGAATTGGAGAGCAGCTGAGCTGACATGTGGTTCCCTTGCCAGCTTTCTGAAATTGCAGTACCAGGGAACTCTAGGATTTTGATATTCAAACTCTGTATTCGTACGGCAACATTTAACCTCGCATTCCAGGGCGGGGTTGGGCTCCGAGCCCGGGACATTCCAAAAAGCATTCCAGCCATTAAAGCCCTGGAGGTAGCCCACAGTGGGTGCATCCATGCTAAAGGGCTAGTAAAAGTATCTTTATATTCCCATTCACGTTTCTAGTGAGCAAAGTACACATAGGCTACAGGGAGGACAGATTAGAGTTCTCCTCATACCTGTGGATCACACTTTGGCAGGTACTGTTACAAATAGTTTCTGCAGCATCAGTATCAAGAAACAAACCAACTGCTTTGTTTGCTTGCTGCAGCCTTGTGACAAAAAAAAACCCCAAACAACCACCAGCTGCCTCACTGAGTTCCACAGGATTAATAGTGAAACATTTTCACCAAGCAAATACTTAAAATAGAGCACAGCTTTGGGTACTGTTGACCAAGTATCATATTCATATGACATAAAAATTTTAAAAAAAGAGTGAGGCTAAATATCCTCTAACCCGACTGTGGTCTCAGTTGCCACCCTATGCAAGAATGAAGAAGTGCAATGGCTGGATTGTTAAATACTACAAAAGTTAGCATATTTTTCTGAAAAAAAAAAAAAAAAAATCTGCCACCTTCTGTTTATGACAGGTACAGCAGAAAGAAGCACAGGAGAAACTTGTACAGAGAAGTCAGTGTAGTTTTTGCTCTTTAAAACTAGTGTGAATAGAATAATTGCTAGAAGGAAAGCACTGGTCACTGAAGTAATTACTATAAAAAACAGTGCTGAGAAGGGACCATACACAGTAAATATAACTACACTATCTATAAAGGGGTTAAGATGAATTGGAGGATCAAAGCAGGACAATAAATCACACATCAGTTGCAACAGAGTTAAGGGGAATGAAAGCATGTAACAAAGTCATTAAACCAAACCATTCTCTCTCTCTCTCACACACACACAATTACAACTTTTCTCTAGCTTTTTGAAATAGATCAAGGATGTCAAACATGTTACTCTTTGTAGCCATTTCCCAGAATTTATAGCCCTTCTATATTTAGCATTGAATGCTCCTCATTCCAGCAGTGACTCCTCAGTCTTGTTTTCACATGTAAATGCTGCCATACAAGTCCACAGCATATCTAGGCACCACCACCTATAATAGTTGGTGTTTATCCAAAGATTCAGTCTTAATTTTAGAGAGATGATAAGAGACAAAGCCAGATTCTTTGAAGTAGCCAGACAAGAGAGAATGAGCACAAACTGAAATACAAGATATTCCCTGTAAACAAAAGGAGGAAAACAACTTTTTTTTTTTTTTTTTTTTTTAATGTAAAGATGATCAAACACTGAAACAGACCACCAAGAAAGGTTGTGGGTAGTCTCAAATTTTGGAGATACAGAAAACCCAGCTAGACAGTGTCCTAGGAACCTTGCTCCAGTTGACCCTTTTAGCAAGTGGGTTGGAGCAGATCATCTCCAGAAGCCCCTTCCACACTCCAACATTCTATGATATTACACCTTGCAAGCCACACTGCTAGTGAGACCCAAGAACAACTTATTCTTTATTAGTCTATGATGGCTCCAAATATTCCTGACAAAAACAAGATGGCACTCACAACAGCAAAATGACTACTTCTGAAGTTTCTGATTAATACTGCAAATTCTTTTGCTGCTCTGGAGTAAAATTCATGCACTAAAGATGTATAAAATCTATGTATATTTAACTGCATTTACTGCAACATACAAAATTAATAAAACCTTTCTTTTTGGACTCTGTAGATTTACTATAAAATACTCAGATATAAACAGAAGGCATTTTAAATATTAATACACAGATTTAATTAGCAAGTCTGAATATTGTCTGGTGAGATGTTGTTCTTCCATCGTAAAAGAATGAAAATGTCACAGAATGAAAAATTTCACAGAATGTTAGGGGTTGGAAGGGACCTCAAAGATCATCTGGTCCAGCCTCCCTGCCAGAGCAGGCTGGCCTACAATAGATCGCACAGGAAGGCGTCCTGGCAGGTTTTGAATGTCTCCAGTGAAGGAGATTCCACAACCTCCCTGGGCAGCCTGTGCCAGTGCTGTCACCCTCACTGTGAAAAAGCTTTTTCTAATATTTTTATGGAACCTCCTATGTTCCAACTTGTACCTGTTGCCCCTTGTCCTGTTATTGGACGTCACTGAAAAGAGCCTGGTTCCATCCTCCTGACACTCCCCCTTGACATATTTATAGACATTTATGAGGTCACCCCTCAGCCTCCTCTTCTCCAAGCTAGAGAGACCCAGCTCCTTCAGCCTTTCCTCATACGGGAGATGTTCCACTCCCTTAATCATCTTCGTGGCTCTGTGCTGGACTCTCTCAAGCAGTTCCCTGTCTCTCTTGAGCTGAGGGGCCCAGAACTGGACACAATATTCCAGATGTGGCCTCACCAGGGCAGAGTAGAGGGGCAGGAGGACCTCTCTTGACCTTCTCGCTACTCCCCTTATAATAAACCCCAAGATGCCATTGGCCTTCTTGGCTACGAGGGCACACTGCTGGCTCATGGTCATCCTGCTGTCCACTAGAACACCCAGATCCCTTTCTCCTACACTGCTCTCCAGCAGGGCAGTCCCTAGCCTGTACTGGTACAATGGTTTAAATGCTGGCACTACCACTTGAGGAAGAAGATGCAAGCTTTTATACTGGAAGATGATTTATGAACTACATTCAAATGAACAATATTTTGTATGTTTTTTTATACAAAATACTTTAGAGATCATGTCATGACATCCCTGTTATTTTGTTTTCAGGCTAGAACTGATAATCTGTAGATCCCTCATAGTGTTGAGTGAAACTAAACCACCATTTCAATAAACTGTTAATAACCAAAATCCTTGAATTTTCTTAATTTATCAAGACATACTTTTGGGGATTCAAAACTCTAATTTAAAATCAGACAAATTCAGCTCGATTGCCATGAAGTCAGACTGGGTCTGTATCCTCTCTTGGCATACACCATGAACATATATATTTAGTTTAATAGCAAGTTATAATGGTGTCAAGCGAAGAAAAGAACGTGCGCCTTGGATGAAGACCATTGGTATCATGAACAACTAAATACTGAGGCAAATTAAGTTGCACTTCAAGAACAAACACAAGGCCATATTTACATGCCCATTATTGCAAGTATTATACATGTAGACATCTAATAGAACTTCAGAGTTCAAAAGAACAAAACAGCTCAAAGTGCCTTCATTCACCAAATTCATGGCTACCAGACTTGGCTCCAGTTCCTTACTGGAAAGCCACAATTGTAATACCTAAGACCTGGAAAAGCTGGTTAATTCTACTGCTGTATTTCTGGAGGGTAAAATGTAGTAGAAATTATGAAAGAAGAAAGTTATTTCCATGCTTCGTGTTACAATTTTTAAGTTCTCTCTGCAAAAAAGTTTTTCTTGATATATGATGGTGTAAATCAAACTCTTTTGACAAAACCATGACTACTTGGCTAGTATTTTCCTACATTATTTTTTTCTGATTAACTACACAGTCACATAATGGATTCATCTGCTTAGGTATGAATACATCAGCCACCTCTTACCAGCACACCACAGATATCTTAAAAATTTGAAAAAAAAAAAAAAAAAAAAAGGCAAAAAAACCCCCCAAAGTAATAAAACTAATGACAAAACTGGTTTGAAAACAGCTGGTATTTTAAAAAAAAAATTTATTATTTGAGATAAACTTCTCAATGTTATTCAAAAATCAAACTTCTAATTTATCCTGTCTGAAAGGCACCACAGGGACAGTGAGTAGTGAGCAGTAAACATCTCATTGGCATTTTTCACAACTGGGGAATTTGTGTCTGAGAGAATCCAAATGAAACGTGAACAAGATATACAAATAGGAGCTCTTCTGTAGCTGCATAGGGCTGAAACCTCTAATTTCCGTGCTACCGTGGCATCTTAGGCACATTCATGTCAGAAGTTTCTTCAGTAAAATTAGCTTTTTTATGGGAAGGCTCAGCAAGATCTTCTCCATGGCCTCTGTTATTCAAGCGCTCCTGGTCTTCCCTCTTGCGTTTGTTAACCAGATGATTTTCTCCCTCACACAGCTTTCCCTCTGGGATACCCAATGTTCTCAGACAGACAATAGCTGCAGCCTGTTCTGCTAGTTTCTTTGATTTGTCCCTGAAGAGCAAGCAGACAGAGCATAGGTAAAAGTAGAAACTGGAGTCTCTACACTGCCATGAGACAATTTCCTGCCTCTGAATCAACATCATGAACTAAACAGCAGTTGTAGTCATCTCACAGCAGAAGAACAAAACCAGTAAATTCCAGAAATTATTTGAACCTTGCTAGGCATCAATGTTGATGCATCACTCCTGATATAGCAATCCTAGAAAATCTGTTTCTGTGAGTCCCTGTATCTCAAACATTCTTTATTCCAAAGGTATGAAGCCAACGTGCCTTTGGCCCAAGTGGTTGCAGCCCTCAGAAAGGTAATGTCTACAGTCACAATCACTACACAAAACTGAGTTTGGAAGGATCACTTTCCTTGAAAGACACTCGGAGACCCAAATCTCTGGTAGGCTTACAAGTTCATTGTCACTGACAAAAGCAGGAACTGTTCCATAATAGTAAAAACTGTCATTCCTGAGAGGGACTGCAGATTATACATTTGTGAAATTCAGTGTTTCAAAATATTTTCTTCTCAGGGTTTCTTATCAGCTGAACTTATCTTCCTAAAGTTTCTGAATGCTGCAAACACCAGTAACTGTTGTTTGCATTTGTCCTCTAAAATTTTCAAGGCTGAACTCCAGCTTTGCTGTTAATATCAACTTAGGTGAAAATGCCTAAAATCAACTCCACTGTTAATAGGTGACTGTATAAAATACAATAATGAAACTTTAAAACAGCCCTGAATGTAAATGTTGATTAACTGCTATCTCCAAAAAGCCACTGAACTGTCCTCTGCTTCCTTGTATATAGACACTTAATCCTGACTTGTTACTGAGGAGTGGTCTGCCGTGGTGGCTGAAGACATTACCTCCTCCAACGTTCTTCTCTGCCTCCCTTGGTTAGTTTCCAAACTCTTCACAGATACAATTGAACCAGGTCACCTACTTGCTCCCCTTTCAATACCGTTTGTGGACTAATGTACTATGCGAATTAAAACCTGTAATGGTTTACTTGATTATGATAAGGCTTACTTCCTCTTGTCACACACAAGTCTCAGAAATTTTTAATCCTTTCTCCATCCCTGAGGTAGCTTTAGAAGGCAGCTTTTAGTTAACTCTTATCAAAGTCAGCTGGAATAAACTGAAGTACCCTTTCATTGCAAGTTTTCAGCAACATTTCAGAAACAATAAACAATACTACAATAAAGCTGGAGGGAAAAAAAAACCAAAAAAACCAAAACTAACTCACAACAACCCAGAGCCAACCAACATTAAGGATAGCTTACCACAGAGTTGATCTGTATTTGTGCTCAGCTACTGTGACTACAGAACAGAATAATCTATCCAGTGGTCTTTGAACCTGGAGGAAAAATTAAAGCATTAAGAGGGAAGGAGGTGTCAAAAATCCAGTCACATAATTTATAAAACAAACAACATTGTCAATGTTCCTTGTCATTCCTGTCTTTACACCACAAGCAAGTAACACCTTAAAAATTACTCTAATTCACACGACAAATTTAAACTTGCATATTTAAGATAAAAAAAATAAGAAATTGTCTAGACTGCACATATATTGCATCACAAAGAAATATTCAAATTATGTACCAATCTAACCAAGCAGTTGCTCCTATCCGGTATAGCTCCTTCCTATAACAGTGTGCAACAGAAGAAATATTCTGAATCCAAACACTTTACTTCACAGAAAAAATAAAAGACCATCAGTCATGGCCTCCTATGTAATGATCTGCAGTTACAGCAACTTTCCATATGACTCAAAACCAGATTGAAGTCCTGACTTTTAAATTTTTATTTTCTTATAGTCAGTTGCTATTTTCGTACATGTGTTACCATTTCTGAAGCTGCTTACTCAAGAGTTATGTGAGACCAGGAAGCAGAATTTCTCACTACCTGGAGTCCTAAAATACTTAATTTCATAGACAAAGCAGAGGAAGAGGTTTGAAAGGGTTTCTTCATTGACTCACAGTTTCATAAACAGGCTGAGGATGCTTTTCTTTCCTACACCATTCCAGAAGGTACATTTTTGGAGTAATCTGTGGTGGATATTCTCTCCTAAACAGAAAAATTGGTGGTCAGCAGCTGTGCACAGAATTCTGTTTTAAAACAGAGTGCTGCTTATTATGTTATTTCTAGCGGTTATTCTTTGTGATTTAATTTTACAGCTCAAATTATGAGAAAAAGGCTGCTTCTATATTAGATAATTCAAGTAATACATCTGACTTAATATCTAAAATAAAACCTAAACTTTCCTGTTAATTCTTTCTAAATATTCACATCCTGTAATAACAGCACCAGAGAAAACATACTTACCAGAAAGGGGATTCTAACTAAATATATGACAGAATAGAGATACAGTTTGGCACTGCTTATTGTAAGCAACAATATGAGATTGAACACTAGAAGAAAGAAGCTGCTTCTGTTATGAGACAGTGGAGTCATCAAATAAAAAAGGTGTAGGAGAGGCAGGCATTGATTCAGCTACTGACAGGGAATTACTGCCCCTTGTACTTGGCAGAAAAAAGTAGTATTGTGAAGTGTTATGAAAGAACTTGTGCACATCATGACATTTTGTAACAATTCACTCAGTAAGTGCTGTTGTGCTAATTGTTATTCTCAAAAAACTGTAAGGCACTATCAAATCCACATTTTTTATTTAAAGATACAAGATAGTGAAAAACTTAATCTGCATACTTACTTGTCAAATCTAACAGCCATTTTTATTACATCTGGGTCGTCCACTTGGTCATCTGCATCTTGTGTCTGGGTTTCTAAAGACATTTTCTTTGCTTTGAAAACAGCTGTTGTTTCTTCATAGAAATCAGCCATTTCAAAGGCTTCACTATTTAACAGAATTCCTTTGTATTAGAGATCAGCTTATAAATTTTTGTATCACACTCATAAAGTATAGAAACAATTGTGTTTAAATAGAGTATCTATGTACAGAGAATCACATGAAAGTGTGGCTATATACTGCACAGTGACATGTCATTTCTCCTTCAGTTGTTATCAGACACTGTTAAGCTACAAGTAGGAAAAATGTTCTCATTTCCAGCACTGTATGTTCCATCTGCAGCCTGAAAATCCGAGCAAAATCAATGAGTTATTCAATTACTCAAGTTACTAGCCCAATTAAAAACTTGCAGGTGGATGAATCTGCAAAAGAACCTCTCTGAGTGACTCCTTGTGCATCAGCTCCAAAAGGGCAATATGACTGAAAAGTAAGAAATAGATTCTTCTAATTTAGTGTTTAAAAATACTGTACGTAAACTCCGTATAACATCCAAGTACCTCAAAAATATCAGATTTTCTGACTTAAAAGTCAGCTTATTATTCACAAGCCCCTAGTATAAGAGAGGAAGCAACTAGGATTTGGGTCAAACACAAGAGCCTCAAATACTTTTACATTTCAGATCTGTGGCAGGCTGAATCCACTTCAAAAAGCTGAGACTATTCATTCTCTAGAAGTGATAACAGTAAAACCTGCAGCATAAGAAAACTTCTACTTCCTTGCTGTTACATGAGAATGTTCACTGGTGTGAGGCTGTTCAATGACTAAATTAATTATGGCCACAGAGTCAGCAAAGCTGAATGATGCTATCTGACAGTTCTGAGAGAAGACAATTTATTATGCACTGCTACGTAAATTTTTTGGTCTAAAATACAGCAGCCTGTTCTCTTGCATTCAAGTGCTGGAGTTAAAACCCTGAAAGGCTGTAACACACCCCATCACCACCAGGAGACAGCAGTATTAAGTAACATGCTAATGTCACGATGTATAGGTGCATTTTTAATAACTCGGAGGTCTGTTATCTGGAAGTTAAACAGGCTGTTCAGAACAGCAGTGAAAAGACTTAGATGGAAAGGAGTTTTATAAATTTTCAAGTTCCTCTCTGTGCCCTTCTCTCATGCACACACACACACACTGCTTAAGCCAATTCTGAAATTGATATTGCATCACATATACAAAAACTGATTGTGTCCAATTTTGGAAGCCCCCCAAAAATTCTTAGGTATAGGACAAACACCAAAGTTTTCCACTAGACCTTTATCCACGGTTTATACATACCAACTGTGACTCTTCTAATTACCTGTTTAAAGGCTTGACTCTTACTTTACAACTTTTCTTTACATACTGTGCATTACTATTCATTCAGTGGAGAACACCACCACCCTTTTTGGATAAGATTTATTTGAGGTTGTAAAATATTGTTTTAGTTCCAATCTATACTATATCTTATAACCAAACTGAAAAACTATATGCAAAAAAGTAAATTAGTACACTAAAAATTGTTCAACTATTTACATTGCAAAAGCAAAAGGATTCCACTGCTCCTTGATGAATAATGAAGGCTAACTCCTTCTATAGATAAAATACACATTCCCTTCACAGTACTGTAATGTAATAATCATGGACAGCAGTGTTTGTCAAGAGCCAAAATTGGTAAATTACAATAAACTGGCAAAAGGATTGCAGGGCTTTGCATTCATTTTGAACATGAACAGAATGCTGATGAGGGTTTGCTAGAAAACAGCAACTCCATGTGCAAAATATTTCACGCTTTCAACATTCCTATCCATTTTCATACATGTTAAATAGTTTCAGACTGTTTATTTTATAAAAACAAAGACTCTCTTCTCCTCCACTCCATAAGGCTAATTAGGGCACACAATATGGATATGATACATGCAAGCTCAGACCTTTATTTTGTTTAATTTGGGATGAGTCCAAATCTAAATTTCCCTCCATTCTGTGTAAATTCTTTCATCACATGTCTATTTCATAGTTTCTATCAGACTCCTCCCTTTCTGTCCTCCTGTTTGAGACATTTCACCCAGACTGTTTCAGATGTCCAAGATTAAGAGATTCATTACAACTACTGGATCTCCTCAAAATCATTTTCATACCTCTATTGACCTAATGATGACAAGCAATACAAATTAAATACATTTAAGTATCATACAGGTAACCTTCAGGCATTGTTTTGAGTTTATTTCTAAGTGTTCATTTAAAACAAACACCTTGTCATAAATATGACAGTAATATTAAAAACCCCACATGGAAAAAGCAAAGTTAAAATAAATGAAAATGCCTGGAAGAAGACAAGCTCCACACTATTAATCCCCAGACTAACACTGGACAACAAGAACTTCTCTTAATCAGTTAACAAATATCAGAGAAATGCCTGTCACTCAATGAAGCACCATTTAAATTAGCATGATGTACATATAGACAGAACAGACAGTTTGAGAGTTAAAGCTTTAATACCTGAGCATGGAAGAAAGATGAAAAAGTTTACTATATTATTCCACATCTCACTAATTAGATTTTTTAAAAATTTACTTTATTCTTTTTGTAACTTCTTCTGAAGGTATGAAATGCAAGACAGTGCCACAGAGAGAAGTAGTTTCAAAGACAGACAGAGAGCACATCTCCTTGTTCTCCTTGCTTACCAGATCTCCTGCGTGGACTGTGCAGTATGCAGCTTCTTACCCTGAGTAGTTTCCAACTGTTCTCTTAACATCTGACACAAACAGTATTTTGTGTTGGTATAGTGATTATCATACCTCACTGCCTGAAGGAGAGAGTCAAAGAACATAAACACATACCTAAGAAATTTATAATCTCTTGACAAATCTAAAAATTGTTTTTGAAAGACAAATCACAGTGCACAGCTTCTCCAATAACATACTCAAGGATACTCATGAATCTGTGTATAATCTGATTATTATGGCATGTATTCATGAACAGAAGTCAAACTTATTCATAGACTTACAAAGAGAATTGACGAGTTTACATAACTGACTGGCAACGCAGTGGTATTTTGTTAACTAGTTAATGGCAGTTCACATTTTCAAAAAAATTAATTGATGACATGATAAAAGCCACATTTTCCAATTAATTTTCTATTATATCATTCAAATTGTGTATTTTGAATAATAGATAAAACTACACAATAGATGACTAAGCAAATGGAGCTATAGTACTACTATATAGGGTTATTTTACTGGCAAAAATCATTCCATTTGTTTCCATGCTGTAAAAAATTCTTGACAGTATTCGTGAAAAAGAATTCTAAAAATTAATCTAAGCAGCAACTGTTTAATACTCCTTCACTTTTCTGTTCAGTATTATTTGCACAGTTGTAGCATTGACAGAGTTGGCCTACATATGATTAGCTTTTCAAACCCCTAAACATTTCTATACACATCCTTGTACTCCTCATGAATACTCCCAAGGAACTAGGGACAAAAAAGTGTATAGGAAAAGAATAATCATGAAAAACTGTTTTCTGAACATTTTTTTCTGGTCAATGTAAAACAGAGGAAGCAATGGTTGATTCGCAAGACTCAAGGAATATGCAGTATGTTGAAATATCCCTCAGAGCCTAAATCTTTGAAATTAAGAGGAATTAAGATACTGTAGTAAAGTTTGGCTTGACAATTCTAAACAGTGTTAAATACAAGTAAAATCTTTCAGAAAACGTACATATTTGATGTAAGCTTGCATGACTTCCTTCAAGGGGAAAAGACCTTCTTTTCTGAAGATAGATGGGTTCCACATGGCAGCACGAGCTATCATTACTGAGGAGGCAGCTGTTGCTTCCCGAAAGGTCTCAATGTCCAAATAGTCTTTTATGAAGTCATGAGATCCTCCACTAGAAATTAACATCACTGTTATAATCACAGAAGTTTTATGGGCTATTACTTGTGCTTCAACACAGCCTTGTATTTTCAGTGTGATATTACATTATTAACAGCAGCAGAGTCTGTCTAGGATATCTTCTCAAAGATAAGAGAATATGTGGGTCTGTGAGCACTATTAGAAAAGGCTCATTAGAATAGATACATAACATTTTCATTAACTGCATACTTCTCTTAAAAATAGAAGACTGTAGTTGTGAATGAAGACTATAGCTTGTGTTTTACACAAACTGTACTTCCATGCAGTTCTTATTAGATAAGGTTCACAAAGAATCACTTCCATTTTGTTTGAAAGCTGACACCTTGTAATGGTCAATCTGTAACCTTCAACTGAATACTAAGTGTGCTGGCACAAGTGGTACTGAAAACAAGTTAAGTATGCACAGCATCATTCCACTTTCACTGTGGCACTAACCTATCAAGAGTAACTACAAGTAGTACTTCTGGATCAGTCAGAGAGCACTTTAAAGCACTGCTTCTATTGTACTACCTCTGTTTTCAAGTCAGCAAGTCTGAAGGATGAGTAAGCAAAAAGAACATTTAAAACACTTCTTGCCCTTAAAAGTTCCCCTTCACATTCATTTTAAAATGTAAAATAAAAGCTGAATTTTTGAAAGAGTAGGATCTTTATCCCTTCAAAAGTAGAAACAGTGTCAAATTCAAAACAAAAAACTAGAGAAAGATAAATTACTTTAAAAACAGACATTTCTATCATGAAGACAGAACAGGCAAACTTCCTGCAGCAATGAAAGATTATTCCACAAACAGTATCACTCTAGAAACCACAGTATCAATTCACATTTTCTTGGCCTTTTTTAGCACCAGTCTACTTCCTTGTATTCATTTACAGAAATGAGTTTCCAGACCGAGCTTGAAGTACAGGTGGTTAAAATGCTCAAAATACTAGCCAAATAAGTGTACAGCAGTGATCAAGCATCATGGATCAAATATCTAAAAAGCAGGACTACAAAATGCATATTTAGCAAAACTTTTCCCTTCTAGAGAAATCTAAGTGGATTTAAAACAAAGATTGTTGCCTTTTCAGAGAAAACATTAAAAAAATGGTATTTTAAGGTGAGCTCAGCATGCTGGGACACTTGCAAAGAAATAAACTGATGTAGGGATTAATTAGAAACAACATATCAATAATAAACGTCTGATACTTTCGTATCTTAACTACACACTTTTACACCATAGAAAGTACTCTTACAGAGCTGGCACTTCTGTGATATGCATAAAATCTAAGAAAAATTGTTTGCTTCATCTTTTACCTAGGCACACAAAGGATCTGTGTCAAACTACAAGGCAAATTTTGCTTGGCTTTTAAACTCCGTACTGTTATTATTATATTATTCTGAAAACTCAGAAGGAGGTGAATCACTAAAACGTGATCAACAAAGATTATCAGCATAGAATATTTCCTTTGTACAGTACATAAACAGGTGTAATAGAAAGAACTATGACTGTCAATGCATTTTTTGCATGAAAAGGTAAAACAGGAAAACAGTTCTCAGACTCCTGATCCAAGCATATGGTTTGCCAAGATGTGGCTTTTCCACGAAAACTCAAGATCAATGAAGAAAACTTCATTTAAGGGCACTGCGTCTATGGACAAGAGTATTTTATTGCCACTTCTAAAGAGGTGAAGCATCTAAAGATGCTGGTTATGCAGATGAGATACAATTCAGAAAAGGTCAAGACTTGTCATTACCTCTGCTTCCTAAACTGCTCTTAAAACTTACCTGTTTGTAGCTAGACCTTTCTAAGACTGAGTTCCTTATTTTATTACCACAGTTACTGAAGGATCCATCAACACAAGC